GACCTGACATTTTTTTCTTTTTGGGGGTACTGTTTTGCAGTTTATAACATTTGGGTTTGCATGTACACCATTGTACTTTGTGTGGGAGAAGGTGATTGGCATGCATGACACAAAGAGCATTTGCTTGAGGGCACTTGCTAGGCTTCCAGTTGTGATCCCAATTTGGTTCTTGGCTATAATCTTCCCCTTCTTTGGGCCCATCAACTCTGCCGTTGGGGCTCTCTTGGTTAGCTTCACTGTCTATATCATCCCATCTTTAGCTCATATGCTCACCTACAGAAAAGCCTCTGCCAGACAGGTAAATATATCCTCCTAAAAGCAACTCCGATTGGTCATATCATGTTATGTTACCGTCACAGACAAGTTCAGATTCCGCCGAACTTGTAACCCTCGGTTATCATGTAAGGTCACGTAGTCGTACCATCACGCGCGAGGGTCTTTGTAGTGGCAACACATGTAGTTACCTCCATTGAGTTGAGGACATATCGTGATTGATCATGTCACAGTAAACTTGTAAACCCTAGGTTATAATGTTACTGTTACGTAGTGCTACTATCACAAGGCAAATAATTAAGTGGTTTGTCTAGTGGCGACTAGTAGTTATCTTGATTGAATGGGGGTATATTAGTCATTGTAGTTTTGAGTGGGCACCTCCACCAGGACACACGATGGGGATACCCACATTTCAGTAGTTGCAGTGGGGATGAGAGGGGCAGCAAGTGTACAAAGATCATTTAATACTTGGATTTGGAAATGTTAGGAGAAGAATTGAGATAGGTGGGCAGTCCTTTTCGTTTAGTTATATGCTACAGTTGGGAGAGTTGTACCTCTGCCTTCCGATGAGCTGTTTGATTGATTAGGTCTTTTTTTCTTGAATTTGGATGGGGACGTCCGATTCAATTTGAGTATTCTGGATTGCTTGGTCTTTAGGCTCCGGACAATGAAATCCAGAGTGGTTCTCTGTCCTCTTTTTCCTCTCCGTTAGGTCAGTTTGGTGCTGACTTTGGTCCAAGTGAAAAGACAGAAACTTGAAAGAAAAATGAATCTAGTCTTCACGGTATTGTTTTCAAGGATTCTAAACTAAACCCAAAAGTCCTTATTCGAAAGACTTATTCGTCTGAGATCTTTTACAGTATTATATAAAGTTGATTCTCATATATAATAATCTGGCTGTCTGAGTTTGATTCACGTACGTAACACTGTTTCTGTAGTAATGTGAGTATGAGAGTTGTGAGAATCATATTCTATAAGAATCAAAAGTACGAGGACCATACAACTTTTTAACTGTAAGAAGTCGAGCAGTGTTCTTTATTTAAAACGAAGGTTTATTGATTTGGGTTAATTTTTTTACTGTGCTTTTGCAGAATGCTGCAGAGAAGCCACCCTTCTTTCTACGAAGCTGGACTGCCATGTACGTAATCAACTCCTTCATAGTGCTGTGGGTTCTGGTGATTGGGTTCGGGTTCGGTGGCTGGGCCAGCATGACCAACTTTGTGAGACAGGTCGACACATTTGGGCTGTTTGCCAAGTGCTATCAGTGCAAGCCTCCAAAACCACCACTAGCAGCCGCAGCTCCTCCCCATCACTAAATCTTCACTTCCTCCAAAACCCTCACTCTCACCACTCAGAAAATTCTCGGTCTTCATATTTGTACCATACATGGGGAAGTAGTAATATTTCCCCCTACATGTCATGTGTGCTGGATTTTGCTTTGTATTATTTTTTTCTATATTTTTTTGTTAAATTAGTTATAAAATAGTGTGTTGAGTTGTGATGATTCCATTCCTATCAAAGCAAACGTTCATTAAATCAATATATATAAATATGTATGTTTTTAGACATTTTCCTTCATCTTTTTGGGTTTTTCTACTCGATATCATCGACTGGATTAAGATTGTCAAAATTTAACCGTGCAAATTTGGTTGTTAAATTAATATACCGTTGCGTTATATTCTTTTCCGGCTTCTGTTTCTCAGCTTCTTTTGTGGGATATTGTAAGATTTTGTTGTCCCTCATGGCTTTCAATTGCCATTATTGCCAGCATGTTTCCAAAGTGCCTTGTAAAACGGCAACGTTATGGGCCTTGTCTGGTTTTCGTTTCCACGTGGCTTGATGATCTAAGGAGCTGTATGTGGACATGTTCTAATGGCTCCCATTGACCTTAGATTCCGCTTTAAGGGAGAATGGAGCGTGGACCCGCCCCACTTGCACATGGGTTGCACGTGGATTCTCCTATATCACGTGCCATTCTTTACTTCTTAGTATTTTATCCTTCATGTTACTTGTGAACATGGAACCATGCATGGTCGCTCTAAGAGACTCATGCTCGATCAACCTTCTTAGCGACTGAGAAATTTACGTGTAAAGAGATGTCACGGTCAATATTTCAATTTTCAAGTCAGTTATGCATTGTATTGTGATTTGTTTTACCGCTTCTATATAATAATGCATGATCAGTTTCAAATACCATTACAATGACATATCATCTTGTTGCATGATGATGTCATACATCGGAATCTCCTCTTCATGTTTGGTTTCAAACTTCTGTCTGATGAGCAAATATCAATTGAGGTACATAGATATAGTTGCAACATAGACCCTTTAGTAGCAACTTGGTCTTAACAAAGGAATGATCTTTATGTCCAGCTAGGTCATCCCATTAGAGAGGAATAAGGGAAAGGGAAAGGAGAGAGGAGAAGATAAAGGAAAGCAGAGAAAAAGAAATTTCAGAAATGGAGGTAGGGTATGTGAGGACTATAAAATACTAGGAGATTATTCTGAATAAAACTTTATGCTTCAACAAAGCACATTCCATCACATCCATACTTATGAAGAGTCTTATTCGTTCCCGCTCGATCGATACCAATTTACTTGGGAAACAAGGCATCACAAATCAGAATTGCATCAAGGACCGAGGGCAAGTATGTGACTTGTTTCAATGGCGTCCTATACGAAGTTGTTGTGAAAGAAGTTATCCAAAGGAGGCAAATTTGTATTGGATGGGTCAATAGTTTGAGCATGTGTTGAAATATCTCACATTGACTATATCATTGAGAAAAGAAGAGTTTAAATAATCCAACTCCACTCCAACTAATGCCGTGGCCTTTTATGATAAAAATTCTGTAAAGATAGTTCACGTTTTTGCAAAATATTAGGACATAATAGTTCAAATTGTTGATTTAATTTGTGATTCCAGCTTAACACAAATTCTAGACAAGGTGTATCCAAAGCGATAAAATCATTATTTCTCAATACTATCTGAAAATTCTCTTTCAATGTGAAGTACTATCATACAATGTGAAGTACCTTGTGCTCCCTATTGGCCTTAGGGCAAGGGCTCGAGACCCCTCAAAACGATGATATGGCCTATTGATATTTTTGTGGTTCTAGTGGTGAAGGGTTAGAGGCTAAGATTCTAAATTTTAAATGGATTTCACGCAGTTCCAAGACTTCGGTTGGGGCTGGTTTGACCTTGCATGTTACATAGGCTTCAATTTGGACTAGGCAAACTTGATTGGGTTAGAAGTTGTTTTTTCCAGTTGTGAGGCAAAATTATCAATTTGTTTAGGCCACAAGGCTCCCATTAGATATGCTCTTAGGGCACAATCAAATTGAACCTTTTGTCTATTGAGTGTTGGATTTAACCTAAAATTTGGAACACGAATAAAACTTTACATATCAAATTTGGGTTTAGGTGGGCTGGGTTTATATTTCTGCATGGGTTCTTGTGTTTTCTTTTCACAATGCGAAATTTCTACTCAGCAGTATTGTTGGTTTTTGGTTTGTATTGCTGCGCATCTGCTCATGGTTTCCTTTGCCTTCCTTGGGTAAATTACGTTGTATCCTTCAAGTTTGGATGTAATTGCAACCTATACAATCATTAAAACATGACAATGTAGTACACAAATTTATATTTTAGTTGCAGTTTCATACATTCGTTAATCAAACCGGCAATTTAACTATTAAGCAATAGTGTAGCAACTGCAGGTCCATATTTTTATTGATGTGACAGTCAAATTTCTCCACGTAAATTAAAAAACAAATTATAAATAAAAAATTGGACCCGCCCTTTCAATCCTACGCCTAACCTTCCCGGTCAACCAACCCCGCCCCATTTTCGTCGACCTCCTTCAGCTTCATCCGCTCCCACCTCGAGCTCGATCTCAACCTCGACACCGTCCCAGTTTTGAAAGCTGGATTTTCAGAAAAGGGTAGAGATTTGAAGGTTTAACAAGTTGGTAATTACCTAGAGGCGTTGGAGTGCCTGAAGTTATAAGCACACCAGCCCAATGTTTGGTTTTTAATAGCCCACGATTGGGGCCCGTACTAGGGTTTTATTTGGCAGAGTATAGATATAAGGAGCTGCTGCTGCCAATTTTGGATTAAGCGGCAGAGAGAAAAATAGCAAGGGCTGACAGCTCCATTTGTGAAAGAGAAGAAGAGCTACTGTCCCCATTTTGTTAGCAACCACCCATCAAAGTTGTAGTTGTTGTATTACAGTATTAGCTTTAAGCTTTGTATAGGGAGGAAATTATTCACAATATTTCATTCTCTATTTGTTTTTTGGCGTGTGAGAACTATTGGGTGTATTGAAGTTTTGGATTGTGAGATTGTAAAACACTTTGTAAACACTCCTATTTGGTTAATAGTGGATTATTGGAGAGCTCTTCCTGCTCCGAGGACGTACTCCAGTTACACTGACCGTTGAGGAATCTCGTTAAATCTTGTGTCTTCTCTATTTTGTTCTTGCATTTCATTAAGTATATTTCATGTCAGTTATATTGAGTTGGTTTCCAATTGATTTGATATTATTGTTGTACAACAGATCTGACCGTAAGTGTAGTATCTCAATCGTGAGGGAATTTTGTGAAAATGCAATAAACTTCAAGAGATGTCAATGTAATTAACCTGCGATATCTACAATTAATGATGCACTTGTGCAAATATGATACTCACTCAACAAACAAATTGAAATTAGAACAGACTAGCTTATATATGAATTAGCAAGCAAGATAAACGGATTGTTTACCTGATTTATTAATTTAAAAATTCTGACATATAACATACATATTGTAGAACTACAATATTTATTGCTATTTGATATGATAACAAGAATAATTTAGGGGAACTAAATTTTATACCACCTCATGATATCAAGTGTCGAGATATCAATGAAATTCACTTTTCGGCCTCTGAATCATCCACAACGGTTAACAGGTGTTTGGCTTCAGTGAGTATACTTAATCCTTCTTTTAACAGCATAACTCCTCTAGTGGCCTTTTTACAACCATCTTTAGATTTAGAACCTGAAGGAGGACTAAAGAGATCAAGGAGACTGACTGGGCCGATCAAGTCGGGGCAACTACCTTCAATGGTGTCTATTATTTCCGACAGCTGCTTCAAGTGTTCATCAACAGGTGTGGTATCTTCAGAAGTCGTTTCAGTACTGCTTACTGTCAATTGGTCTTCACTTGCATCGTCATAGCTTAGTTTTCGCTTTACGCCTCGAGGTCCTACAGCTTCTTTCGAACCCTCGTCTTTCTCTAATAACAATTAGTAAAAAGCAAACCTCAGCTCCATGCCTGATTATGAGTACTTCATTTCCAGTCTAAATTAACTTTGAACTATCAGAAAAGTATCAATTTCCCTGGCTCTTGCAACTGTATCATTTTCTTGTAGACTTTCAATTTGCGTCTCACATTAACCCAAGTTCTTTGACTCCGACATGATACATAAATAATAAAAAGGATCATATATTGGTGACATACCGAGGATCCCGTAATCAAAGTTAACAAGTGAATGAACAAAGTTACACAAATTAGAGTATTGTGAGTCACGAAGTGAAAGTCCAGGCAGAGAAAATGATTCAGATGCAGTAGGGGCGAAAGTGATACTTAGGATATTGTTAACGAGGCAGTTCGACAAATTTACCAAACTTTAACACATAATTAATTGTCTGAAAATGGTAAACATAAAAGGAAAAGCATATGTATAAGTCAAAGACTTAACAGATAGCATATATTGTTTGAGTACACATATAAAACTCACTGTGGTAGTCCTGGATGGCAGGAGTAGTTGGAGATGATCTAGTGCAATGAGCAGTACAAAGTTTCTTGCAATTGGACGACGGTTGGGTCGTAGGGAGATCTGGATCCGGATTATAGTTCACGAAGTGGTTCCGGGTCTGGCCGCCGGAGCCCAACTTCCGTTTCTTGGAGGGATTGCTTTCGTCCACCATGGCCGGCCACAGAAACGGAGACTGCTAATTGTAAGCACTTGCTGAGAAATTAGATTGGGAGGATGCGGATATATAGGGTTAGGATCGGGTCGGGGGACACTCATTTTTTTATTTTTTATTTTTTCCTCTGCATTTGACCTTATTTTGTAGATCCACTTTGTAATGTATTTTCTCGATCTCAGCCATCTATTTTTTTAGTTTTTACTCAAAGATCAAGTCTACAAAAAAATCACTCAAATATGAAACAATATATGAGTGTTGGATTAAGTGATAGTCACTTTAGTGTTTATTTGCAAACTCGTATTCTTTCATTTTTCTTCATAAAAATGAATGTCTTAATAATTTTTAATTTGTCTCAATTTTTGTAAGAATGATTTAGAAATAATAAATTAAAATATAGACTATATGTATATATATTTAGCACTGCAAAAATGTTAGGAATAAAAATGAGTGTCCCCAATCTTAATCCATATATGTATATGTATACATATACATATAAATATCTATATATATATATTCACTAATTATTAATTTTTAGTTTCTTGCTAAATGAAGAACGTTTATAAACGAGAAGTTGAGTTCTTTCATTAGATAAATGTAGAGAAGTAGGAATCGGATCCTTGTCGGATTCTTTTTGTGAGGATCTTGGAAATTCATAAATCATGTTTGTTTATTGTACATCGTGTGATCATAAATGATTTTAAATTTTTTAATTTAAAATTAAATTTAAATAGTATATGAAAAAAACAGATCGCACGATGTACGATGAACAGACATAATTCACGAATTTCCAAAATTCTCACCAAGATGATCCAAAGATGGAGAAGTAATAATGACATAATTAACGCGTCCCTCTTCGGGAAGGATCATGAGTCAAACCAAGTGAGCTATATGAATTGTAGTAGAAAACCCTAATGTGGATGAATGAGTCGGTAATGGAGTTTTTGCTAATAAAACTGTACAATTTTTTACTCGACATTTTATGTTAATTTCTCCTTCTCGCTTATAAAGAATACAACTGTCAGCATGGGAGAATTTTCTCCCCTTCTTCTCCTGCTTGATTAGGGTCAAAAGTCTATCAGGTAAAAAATATTACTCTATCACATATTGGAATTGTTATTAATATTCTAAAAATCTCATTTTACACTCCAAACTTTCTATATTAGGAAAGAAAAATACATTTGTGAGGAGTGTAGAATGAGATTTTTGAAGTGCCAATAACACTTCCCATCACATATTTGTATCATATATGTGACTTATATATGTTGAGGCTCTATTTTTATAAAAAAACAATACAAATAATGGTACAAATATGTGGTAAATTTAACATTACACTACTACAATATTAGCTTTAGGTGTCAGATGATGTTGGTGGTTTAATAAGCCATTATGTCAGATAAAAGATATCCGACACATCATTTAGCTAGTGTTGGATAACAATGAAGTCCTGTCGGTTATATATGACATAAATTCTTGGCGGATATTTAGTGTCGGATGCAACCACCATAAAAATATTATAACCGCCAGTATTTTTGAATTTTTTTTAATATTTTTAACAGATTCTAGCCGTTTGGAAGTTAATGGTGGCGGTTATAACCGACAGAAATTGACTATTTTATTATTTTTACACCAAAATTGTTTCAATTTGTTGTTCATTCAAATTTCTTCCTCTTGCTCTTCATCTTCAATCTTCAGATTTCTTTATCTTCAATCTTTATTTATTTAATTTAATTAGTAAGATAAATTAGGAATATTTGTGTTCCATTAGTTTATTTTATTCACTTAAATTGTTATGAAGAAATTGAGATAAATATTATATTTTTGTTAACCTTTTATTGTTTTATTAATTTGTTTTATTATTTTTGTTAACATCTTTATAAAATTTTATAATTTATAATGATAATTCTTATTAGTAATTATAATAATTTGTGTTTCGTATTATAAGTAAAGTTTTTTGTGCGGGATATTTCCCACGACTTTGATTCAAAAAAATTAATGGCGCAAAAAATTTGACGGAGGAAAATTTTGTGGAGGTTTTTGGTTATTTTTGTCTGTTATAATCGACACTAATTTGACATCCATAAATGCACCGTACTAACATACATAAATGCATTGTACTGACAGAAACATAAAAGCTCTGTTGGATTTTAATTTCCTGGCTGTGGAGCCAAAAATAATCACAAGGCGACACGTGGGTTTTTTGGATAAAAGTGGACAAAAATACCCTTGAGGCACATCGGGATTCCTACTTGCGGCAATCATCCCTCAACCAAGTCAAAAATACTCAAAATCTATTTCATCAATCCTCATCAAATCTTCCCCACAAGGTAACTCCCAAATTATTTCTTTCAAATCATGTTAATTATTCGATTAATGGAATTATTACCTAATTAATTTATTAATGGCTAATTAACTACAAATTACACCCAAAAAAAAAAAAAAACCCCAAATGGCTGGTCCCTATTCTCCTAATAGGGCCGGCCATATCCTTATAAATATCTCTCCATTCTCTCCAAAAAGTACTGTAGACATCGAAATTTCAGTGAAATAAATGTTAACCAATACAACACTTATTTCACCTATATCATTCCCTCACCTCACCAACAACCTCCACTCATTTCACCTACATCATCCATTTACCTTACCTACAACCTCCACTCATTTCACCTACATCATCCACTTACTTCACCTACAACCTCCACTCACTTCACCAACAACCTCCACTCATTTCACCTACATCATCCACTCACTTCACCAAAAAAATGAATGGTGGTGATTCACTCTCAAAGCCTATAAATAGGCTTCTCCATCAAGAGGAAGAAACACCAATACATACCAGAAACCAATTCACAAATACATTTCTCTACTCCCAAAATGGAAGAGAATACTCCCCACACATCCAAAATCCTTGAAGCTTTGAAACTCTAAAGCTCTCAAGCATCCAACCCCCAAATTCCCAAGAATCCCGAAGAATGGAGAAAGCACTCTTCATTCTTCGTCAAATCCTCCTTCAAGATCAAGCCCCGACGGCCCTTGAAGAACTTCCACCAACTCAAGATCAAGCCCCGACAGCCCTTGAAGAAAGTGTTCATCGTTCATCCTAAGATCAAGCCCCAACGGCCATTTGAATCAACAGCACAAACAAATCCACACAACCGTTCTTCAAGATCAAGCCCCAACGGCCCTTGAAGAAGACACACCAAAACCTTGAAGCTTTAAAGTTCTAAAGCTCTCAAGAAAATCCCGAAGGATCAAGAAAGCACTCTTCGTTCTTCGTCAAATCCTCCTTCAAGATCAAGCCCCAACGGCCCTTGAAGAACTCCCACCAACTCAAGATCAAGCCCCGACGGCCCTTGAAGAAAGTGTTCATCATTCATCATCCGTTCATCCTAAGATCAAGCCCCAACGGCCCTTTTGATCAACAACCTCAACAAACACACACACCAAAACCTTGAAGCCTTAAAGTTCTAAAGCTCTCAAGAAAATCCCGAAGGATCAAGAAAGCACTCTTCGTTCTTCGTCAAATCCTCCTTCAAGATCAAGCCCCAACGGCCCTTGAAGAACTCCCACCAACTCAAGATCAAGCCCCGACGGCCCTTGAAGAAAGTGTTCATCATTCATCATCCGTTCATCCTAAGATCAAGCCCCAACGACCCTTTGGATCAACAACCTCAACAAATCCACACATCCAATTGTTCTTCAAGATTAAGCCCAAAAGCCCTTGAAGATCCGCTCATCCATCAACCTTCAAGATCAAGCCCTGAAGGCCCTTGAAGAAACTTCCATCAACCTTCAAGATCAAAGCCACGAAAGCCCTTGAAGAAACTTACAACTGTTCATCCTAAGATCAAGCCCCAACGACCCTTTGGATCAACAACCTCAACAAACCCATACACCCATTCTTCAAGATCAAGCCCAACGCCCCTTGAAGATCCATTCATCAACTATTCATCCTAAGATCGAGCCCCAATGGCCCTTTGGATCAACAACCTCAACAAACCCATACACCCATTCTTCAAGATCAAGCCCAACGCCCCTTGAAGATCCATTCATCAACTGTTCATCCTTAGATCAAGCCCCGACGGCCCCTTGGATCAACAAACAAATCCACACATCTATTCTTCAAGATCAAGCCCCAAAAGCCCTTGAAGAAAATCAATTGTTCATTCAAGACCAAGCCTCGACGGCCCTTGAAGAAAACCAATCGTTCTTCAAGCTCAAGCCCAAAAGCCCTTGAAGATCCGCTCATCCATCAACATTCAAGATCAAGCCCCGAAGGCCCTTGAAGAAACTTCCATCAACCTTCAAGATCAAAGCCACGAAGGCCCTTGAAGAAACTTACAACTATTCATCCAAGATCAAGCCTCGACGGCCCTTGGATCAACAAATCTACATCTTACGGAGATCGAATCAGAGGACCAAATTTGAGAGATCGTAACCCCAAAATCATTAAACACAAAAATATTACTTTGTGCCACGTATTCTTGTTTCTTGTTTTCAGGAATTTTTCGTGTTCACAAGTACTTCCAATTCTCTTGCTAAAATTCTCAAACACTTTCTCTCTAAATTCAAACTTTGGCATTGGAGTTCCCGCCCCACCCCCCTACCCCCCTCCCCCCACCCCAAAATATTCATCGTGGGCACCTGAGGCTCTTGGCCTTGACCAAAGGTGTTAATTGTTATGTAGGTGCAATTTTGTCCAAAATCAAGGAGGAAGAAATTTGCATCCACAAATTGGTGCTTTCATTGAGAGTTGAAGTACACACACTCGTAGGAGACTCTCGCATAAAAGGTTTTTCTCTATTTTTTCTTGTCTATTTGTATATTTCTTGTACGTTCTTATTATTAGAATTTTTTATTTGCAAAGATTCTTTGATAAAACATAAAAGAGAAATATAATGGCTAGAAATTTAGAAAATTCCAATATTCAAGAAATGGGACTGTGGTGATCCACGAGGCTAAATGTGATCATAGGTGGAGCGGCACCACCACTACGGGGCTCCACCATGTCAACCACCGCGGTGGCCACCACGGCCACCACCCGTGGCAAGGTTC